ATCCATGCCAAGTGTTCCCTGCCGGACCTCATGAGATATGCCAGATAGAATGCCAGAAGATATGCCAGATGGAATGTCAGATAGAATGCCAGAAGATATGCCAGATAAAATGCCATGAGATATGCCAGATAGAATGCCAGAAAGTATGCCAGATAAAATGTCAGATAGAATGACACAAGATATGCCAGATAGAATCCCAGAAGATTTGCCAGATAATATGCCAGAAGATATGCCAGATAGAATGCCAGAAGATATGCCAGAACATATGCCAGAAGATATGCCAGATAGAATCCCAGAAGATTTGCCAGATAATATGCCAGAAGATATGCCAGAAGATATTCCAGATAGAATGCCAGAAGATATGCCAGAAGATATACCAGAAGATATACCAGAAGATATGCCAGATAGAATGCCAGAAGATATGTCAGAATATATGCCAGAAGATATGCCAGATAGAATGCCAGAAGATATGTCAGATAGAATGCCAGAAGATATGCCAGATAGAATGCCAGAAGATTTGCCAGATAGAATGCCAGAAATATGCCAGAAGATATGCCAGATAGATATGTCAGAAAGATATGCCGATTGCCAGAAGATAATGCCAGAACGAGATGTAGAATATATGCCAGAAGATATGTCAGAGGAATCCCGAAGATAATGTCCAAATATATGCCCAGAAGATATGCCAATAGACTCCAGAAGATATGGTCAGATAGAATGTCAGAAGATATGTCAGATAGAATGCCAGAAGATTTGCCAGATAGAATGCCAGAAGATATGCCAGAAGATATGCCAGATCATATGCCAGAAGATATGCCAGATAGAATGCCAAATAGAATGTCAGAAGATATGTCAGATAGAATGCCAGAAGATTTGCCAGTAAGAAAATGTATAAATGTCATGGTGGGGATCACACGAAGTAAAGTAATTTTTGTTTTTGTTTTTTTCTTGTTTTTTCCTTGGTTTTGGTTTTCTAGTTTGTTTTTTTTTGTTTGCTCTGGTTTTGTTTTTTTGTTTTTTCCCCACCTGCCAGGTGAGGGTTGTTAGATTTTATGTCAGTTGCCTGCTCCTCCTCCTCCTCTCGTCCTCTCCTCCTCTCCTCCTCTCCTCCTCTCCTCCTCTCCTCCTCCTCTCCTCCTCCTCTCCTCCTCCTCCTCCTCGTCGTCCTCCTCGTCCTCCTCGTCCTCCTCGTCCAACTGCGACCCGCGATCCACAGTGTTCTCTGCCGGACCTCAACCACGACCATCCACGTCAGTGTGCCCTGCCGGACCTCAACCATGACCATCCACGCCCAGTGTTCCCTGCCGGACCTCAACCACGACCATCCACGCCCAGTGTTCCCTGCCGGACCTCAACCACGACCATCCACGCCCAGTGTTCCCTGCCGGACCTCAACCACGACCATCCACACCCAGTGTTCCCTGCCGGACCTCAACCACGACCATCCACGCCCAGTGTTCCCTGCCAGACCTCAACCGCGAGTATCCACGCCAAAAGATATGCCACATAGAGTGCCAGAAGATATGCCAGATAGAATGTTAGAAGATATGCCAGATAGAATGCCAGAAGGTATGCCAGATAGAATGCCAGATAGAATGTCAGCTAGAATGCCAGAAGATATGCCAGATAAAGTGCCAAAATGTTTGCCAGATAGAATGCCAGCAGATTTGCCAGATAATATGCCAGAAGATATGCTAGATAGAATGCCAGATGGAATGCCAGAAGATTTGCCAGATAATATGCCAGAAGATATGCCAGATAAAATGCCAGATGGAATGCCAGAAGATATGCCAGAACATATGCCAGAAGATATGCCAGAAGATATGCCAGAACATCTGCCAGAAGATATGCCAGAACATCTGCCAGAAGATATGCCAGAACATCTGCCAGAAGATATGCCAGGTAGAATGCCAGAAGATATGCCAGATAGAATGCCAGATCGAATGCCAGAAAATATGCCAGATAGAATGCCAGAAGATTTGCCAGTAACAAAATGTATAAATGTCATGGTGGGGATCACACGAAGTAAAGTAATTTTTTTTGTCAAACCCTATATTCTCTGTGTTGTTGGACTCATAACTATACCACGCTACAGTACACAACACTACAGTACAGTACAGTACACTACACTACGCTAATTACACCACACCACAACTACAACTGCAACTGCAACTATACTACACTAATTAAACAACAGTACAAATACAACTTACAACTACAACTCCACTACACTACAACTACAACACCTACAACTAGAACTACAATTACAACTACAACTGCATTACACCGCACTGCATCCAGCAGTTGTGGTGAGATGACCACTGCAACCATTGCAACCACTCCAGAAAACACAACTCCAATCACCTTTCGGTCCATCAATGGATTCGCTCTGCCATCCGTGAGTCACAACAACCAACCCTTCCTATAGGTTTCCTATTTTTGAAACTTCCGCCACCGCGTTGTGCGGTACTATTGGTATACAAACATGGCAGTCCATTCACCTCGACATACGCTAGTTGGGCCTAACAGGTATGGCAGAAGCTACGGCAGTGGCTGTCAGGGCGGTGGTTCTTGATCACACAATAAGGAACAACCATGAACAACCGATCGTCACAACACCTGTTAGCACCGCACTGTGAGACTCATCTACATCCTGCCAAAAATTAAGCATGCATGGCATGCATGGTTCAAATTCCGAACAGGATGGTGATGGTTGGTGTCAATTGGAATGCCCATAAACGGCTTGGGCACCTGACAATGCTTGTCAACTTGGTCATAATGATTCAACTCTGAATCAATGTAGAGAATAAGCACTTGCCAGCTCCTGAGGTGTACCGCAGGCACCTATAGGACTCGACTCTTTCATGCATCGAAATCTTTATGAAATTCTTGGTTATTCTTTGTCGACAAATAGAAGGTCTAGTATGATCTAGTAGAGCACAGTAGAACATAGCACAGCGCAACAAGCACATGCGATTGCAGCCACGGCAGAGCAGCGGAGCAGCGCAGCATACTTTTATAAACGATTGGCTCGGAGCAGAGGGAAGAAGCTACTTCCGAGCTTGCATGTGTCGAGGTCTCCAAGTGATGTAAGCTAAAGCTGAAATTCAACAATCAGAGCTCTCCAGAAGTTTGTCACAATTCCTTCAGGGCTTGCCTGAACGCGATTTCAGAAACACAGCCACTACAACAGGAGAGCTGGCAACAAAAATGGAACTCAAGGCTACTGCATATGCGGACCATGGTGTCTGTTCCTGCGGGTTGTTCACTCCGATCACGTCAGCAGCGCGGGCACCAAAGACACTGTAGATCCAACGCCCAACCACAAAAATCGATTGGTAGGTCGCTGGCAAATACTTCGTCAGAGCCTCTGGCACAAAGTGATCCAGAACCCAGCTGCTGTGTGCGCTGGCTGCAACACCATTCACCACGATGTTTCCGGAGAGCGTGTATGGATTGAAGAGACCTTGTTTCGGCACCATGCGGTTCAAAAGCACTCGGCCGAGCTTCAGCTCGGTGGCGCCAGCACTCGCAGTCCAAACCTCGGCGACGGCTTCAGCCGGTGACCGGATGTGCTCGGGTGTCGGGCAAAACGGCATTGACATGGTGTAAGATCCGAGCAGGTCAGAAATCAAGAAGCGAAAAGGCAAAGTGTAAGACCCACGATGGAAACACGCACAAAACAAAACAAAACAGCCTAATGATATTTAATTTGAATATAAAATATCAAGAATATGTCTGCAACATCTATCTGTCACCATGTTCATGTTATGTCATGGTTATCATGCATAATTTCATTCCATTTCCATCCTCATTCCAAATGCTGGCGATGCCAGTGGGTGTGAAGGGGTGACAATTCGGGATCAATGTCTCACCCTATATCTCTCATGGTGGTACATGTCTGTGCAAACCAGAAGCATAGGCTTCCTCTGGGACAGCTGCTGCGTATGCCGCTTCCGCCTCTTTCCAAAGGCACGGCTGCAGCTTGGGACATTTGTGCAGAAAGTGATCTGGAGAAAGATTCAGCTCCAAGGAAGAATTTGAAGGAGAATTGTGAGGAAAGAAAGACATTTGAGCCAGAAGAATTTGAAAGAATTTTGAGAATAGAATTGGCTCCGAAAGAATTTGAAGAACTTGAAGAATTAGAAGGAAGAAAGATAAAAGGAAGAATAGGAAAGAATTTGAAGATTCATATGTAGAATGTGAAGAAAGAGGAATAGAATTTGAGCCCAACTCCTGAGGCGCGCAGGGATGGGAACACAGGAAACACGGGGCAATGCAAACATTTTGATAAAGTAGAATTTCATACAAATTGACACTTGTTCCCATTGGAGATGGATGAAGACTATCCAGGCGAACTTTTCTTAGACAATACTTGGTATTGACTTGATCCATGTTGAAAATGGTTTGGGGGTCCTACTTAGTTCATAATCAGTACATATTATATATATACATTATTTCATATATCAATATTACAGGCTATTGACTATTACCTGATATATTCCGTGTGTTTCATTGCAAAGGCTTCAGCAGCCACTCTCCCGTCTCCCACTTCCACATGGCACACCATGGCACACCATGGCACACCATGGCACACACCCCACCCATCCTGGATCTGCAGTTGCACCATAGGAGACATGGCTTTGTAGTCTGCATGGCCAAAGAAGTAGATCTCGTCAAAGAAAGCCTCCCCAGCATCGTTGACTGCGAGGACCCGGTCGCCAACTTGCAGCTGGTGCATCTTCTTCTTGCCATCTGGCGTCTCAACCGTTGCATCTTCCGGGAAGCATCCAGATGGGCAGTGGTCCTGCAGATTGTGAAAGATCCGCTCATATGTGTTTCCCGTTGGCATGCATTTGCAAACGCCTCCTTCAAAATCAACACCTGGCAATCCAAAACCAAACTCCACGGTTTCACCAATGTATTGCCCTTGCAGGTTGGTAATGACGGAACCGCCCACGCAAAGGATGAAGCAAGCACTTCCTCCCACATAGGCAGAATCGCCCAGCATGTCATTGTAGCTCTTGAAAAAGCCACGGGCAACACTGGCCTCCACCTCCAAGGGACCGTCCATGTCAAAACCAAAATCCCAGTTGAGGCACACTTCTTTAACGTTGGCGGTCTTGAAGTAGCAGGTCTTGTCTTGCCAACCATTGAAACCACCAGCTGCGAGGCTGACAGACCCCGAGACAGTGATGGAAGCCCCAGCCGCAACACCCAACTCCCAGTTGTAGGCCTTTCCACTGCAACAACTTCTCTGGTTCTCATTGAGGCGCCGGCGGCGTGGGCTTTTGGCTGAAACGCTGGTCTCCAGATCGTCGAGTTCATGCACGAGTTGCAAGGCGCTGAAAGGCTTGCGCTTGCTGGCAAAGAGCTTTGCCGTTTCAGAGGTGTTCCCGTGCTTTGCAAGCACCACGTGCGATGCCCGGTGGAACATCTGCACTGCCATGGCGCGCTTCGTACCAGCCATTGGGTCAAAGGTCTTTCCGCTGGGGTCTGGAAGAGGCAGGCCCATCACAGGACAGGCAACGGCAAAGAAGCTGGAGAGGCGCTTGTAGTGACCCCACTTTGCAGCCATGATCCGCTCCAGGATCAAGCGACACTCCTCGGCACCAGCACCAAACATTGTCTCCCTTCCATCTTCTTCCTCGTCCAGCTTTTTATCCTCAAGAGCGCGCATGACAGCTCATGCTTAAACACACGCTCACTGCACTTTGGAGAGTTTCCTTTTTGGATTATACGTGACACATGATGATACCAGAAACAAAGGACCAGTAATGCAGCATCATCAAAATACAATTTTGAAACTGGGGTCCTCCAAACAAACTGTCATGAAGGCCTCATCGAAGTGCTTCTCATAGACAATCCTGGGCCAATGGTGCGGAACTCCTGCATACTTCAGGTGTTCATGACTCACATCCTCCACGAATCTCATGCACTCGGGTTCTTCATCAATTGGGAGAACCAGGTCAACGAAAACGGCGCAGAAGTCCTCATCGGTTTTGAAAGAATCTTCGCCCAAGATGTTCAGCTGGATGTCCATCTGGTGGACAGCCCGGTCACACTCAGCAGCCAGTTTGCTTGGGTCAACCTGCCATCATCTGCCATCACAAGATCTAGCAACTCCAAATGAGTGACCCTGGGACCCTCGGACCCTGGGGCCCTACCTACACTTACACATTGATATTTACTGATGTCCATCCACAAGAGTTAATAGTTAATAGGCAACTTCTCCTCGCCCAAGTTGGTTTTGATGGCGCATAACCAGATTGAACAATGTATGGGTACGACAATGTTTGGACGTGCTTGTGGTAGTTCCACCATGTTCTATCTCTCCAACCTCTTTATACCACAGGTTGTGATGACCCAGTGAATCTGGATTCATTGGCGGAACAAGAAGCCAAGCCTTTGTCAAGACAGAGTTCGTACCATCAAAGGTGCCCTTCTTGCAGGCAGCGCCAAGCTTTTCGGTCTGCTCTGCAGCCCCATGCTTGCCGTCACCATTGGCCTTCACAAACTTGAGGCAGCCACGGTAGAACATGGCATCAAAGCCATGCGATTGGTCCAGGTCGTCTTTCATACCATCAACTCTTTGCCGATTCATCTCCTGGCAAGTCATATTGTTTCGGCGAGCGATGAGCTTCGCTGCCGCATCCGACTGGTTTGTGAGGTCGTGTGTCTTCATGGCCGCAGCAGCCGCTGCCAACATCAAGAGCGCCACGGCCGCCATTTCGACTTGTTTCAATTGCTTCAATTGCTTCAATAAACGAACGGAAAGCCAAAGGGGGCTTGAGTGAGAAAGAGCTATGGCAGGTATATTCAAACCGTCCAACATGCGTTGAGCATTGAGCAGGACATGTGCACAAAGATTCACTTTCACCTGGCACATCAAGTCAAAGCTTCGACATCACCCCTGCCTTGAGGAAAAACGCGGCAAACGTGCTGTTGCATAGCAATTGCACCGCCCGGATCTCTCGAATAACAAAGCATGTCAGACTGTCAGAACCAAAAAACAAAGAATGTCAGATACGAACAAATTGAGTTTTGACTTTGCAAGTTAACGTGTACAGGACTGTACGATAGTTTGGTGTGCAATAAATTGAAAATTATGGTCCGGGACATCATTCTTGAGTCATGGTGGTGCCTTTTGCTTTGCTTACACTCATGTGATGAATATTCGTAAATGATCACTGCATTACTAAATACTAAACTATCATGCATGTCCAAACTAGCATTTCTCTGCTCTTCATGCGCACTCTGAAACTATAAATTGTATCGTAGTGGCTGCATGAAGGTTGCGAATTGTGCTTTGGCAGCAGATTTTTACCATTTTGGCGCTGATGATTTTCCTTGTAAAATTCCTTTTAATTTTAAAAAGTGCTTCAAAATTGGCGTTTTACCACTTTGACGTCGAGATCCGGTCTTGGAGCTGCAATTTGTGTAGCCGTTGTCGTGCGTAATTCTATGTGTTTAGCAACTCAGCGTCTGCAAATCGCAGTGGAATGGCTGCGCCAAGGTTGCTTGGCGCCGCGGCTGCACGCGCAATATTCTTTAAGCTGGACATCATAAATCGTATTGGCGTGGCTGCATCAAGGTTGCGATAATGATTTGTCAGCAGATTTTCTCAATGTTGGCGCTGGTGATTTTCCTAAATTTCTTTTAAAAAGTGGCTCAAAAGCGCTTTGTTGCTTTGGCGCCAAGGTCCGGTTTTGAAGCTGCAATTTCTGTTGCCATTACATACAAGACAGCTTCTCTGTGTAAATAAAAAAGTCTCTGTGTAAAAGCTTCAACTGTGTAAAGGCTTTCTGTGTGTGAAAGCTTGCTGTGTGTAAAAACATATCTGTGTAAAGCTCGTCTGTGTAAAAGCTTGCTGTGTGTAAAAGCTTTTTGTGTGTAAAAGCTTATCTGTGTAAAAGCTTGCCGTGTGTAAAAGCTTTCTGTGTGTAAAAGCGTAATGCGTAGAGAATTCAATACAAAGTAGTACTGGGAAGGCCTTTCTGCGAGCTTTGTAGTGCACAGTAGTACTGGAAGGTCTTTTGAGGTTTGTAGTACAAAGTACTAAGAAGTACTTTGTGCAAGCTTTGTAGTACAAAGTAGTACTGGGAAATACTTTGTGCAAGCTTTGTAGTACATAGTACAAAGTAGTACTGGGAAATACTGGGAAATACTTTGTGCAAGCTTTGTATCGCGACTCAGTATTGGGGAGTACTTTGTGCCAGCTTTGTAGAACAAAGTAGTACTGGAAAGTGCATTGTGCTAGCTTTGTAGTACAAAGTAGTGTTGGGAAGTACTTTGTACAAGCTTTGTAGTGCAAAGTTGTACTTGAAAGTGCTTTGTGCGAGCTTTGTAGTACAAAGTAGTATTGGAAAGCCTGAACTGATGCACGAGTGAGCGCCCGAAGCGAGAGGCTTGCCCACCAGGGACAGACACACATGCAACTTGAACATGAACTTGTTCATCTTGCTTCGCCATCAGTCAGTTTTGCAGGTTGAAGCCAAATTCTTGTTCAAAGACATGCACAAGTTGAATTCCCCATCTTTGGCACAGTCCTTTTACTCGGAATGTCTCCAGTGCCAAAGCAATTCGCGGCTTCCGACCGTCCGCTACGGGAACGTCGGAGGCAAACGCGCGCCGAACGCGGCTCATGAACACGGCTGGACCTCCTGCAAGTTTCAGGATGACTATCGTGAACACGGCTGGACTTCCTTGCAAGTTTCACCAGGACTATCGGGGTTCGTTCCACATGACTCCATCCAAGAATGAGTGGCAGAACGGTTGGTGTCTGCGGCCACGCTCATGGTGCATGTCACGCACGAATTGCAATACTCCGTGCAGACCGTCGAGGAGCAAATAGCTGCGAGAGCTTCATCCACGGAGGTATAGACTTTGCCTTCGCCTTCGCCACACCCTTGCAAGTAGACGGAAGTTGCGAAAACGCCGAGCACGACCTACAACAGAACATGAGATCAAAATAGATCAGACTTCTGTGTCTAGAGATTCTGAGGATAAATGGCAATTGCATCACGTTTGGAAAGCGAGTTGTCCAGATTTCTGGTTTGCAGTAAGCAAAATCATCCATCAACCAAGTACGTAATTGCAATATCATTAATTAATATTAATTACACATAATATCAAATTAAAAAAATCCACATAATACCAGTAGTACCGCGCAAGGCGGTGGCGGAAGTTTTAAAAATAGGAAACCTATAGGAAGTGTTGGTTGTTGTGACCCACGGATGGCAGAGCAAATCCACTGATGGACCGAAAGGTGGTTGGAGCTGTGTCTTCTGGAGTGGTTGCAATGGTTGCAGCGGTCACCTCACCACAACTGCTGGATGTAGTGTGGTGTAGTGCAGTTGTAGTTGTAGGTGTAGCTGTAGTTGTAGTGTAGTGGAGTTGTAGTTGCAAGTTGTAGTTGTAATCTGGTGTAGTTAGTGTAGTGTAGTTGCAGTTGCAGTTGCAGTTGTGGTGTGGTGTAATTAATGTAGCGTATTGTAGTGTACTGTAGTGTTGTGTCTGTAGCGTGGTATAGTGTAGTGTAGTCTAGTGTATTGCAGTGCAAAGTAGTTGTAGTTGTAGTTGTAGTGTAGTGTCGTGTAGTGCAATGTAGTGGTAGTTGCAGTTGTAGTGTAATGATGTAATGATGTAATGTGATGTGATGTAATGTAATGTACTGTAAATGTAATGTAAATGTAACGTGATGTGATGTAATGTAATGTAAGGTAATGCAATGTAATGTTATGCAATGCAATTAGTGTATATAGTGTAGTGTTGTGTAATGTAGTGTAGTTGTAGTTGTAGTTGCATTGTATTTGTAGGTGTAACGTGGTGCAGTTTAATTGGTGTATTGCAGTGTAGTGTAGCTGTAATTGTAGTTGTAGCTGCGGTGGTGGTGGTGGTGGTGGTGGTCGTCGTAGTAGTAGTAGTTGTTGTTGTAGTAGTAGCAGTAGTAGTAGTTGCTGTTGCACCAGTTGCTGTTGCACCAGTTGCTGTTGCACCAGTTGCTGTTGCACCAGTTGCTGTTGCACCAGTTGCTGTTGCACCAGTTGCTGTTGCACCAGTTGCTGTTGCACCAGTTGCTGTTGCACCAGTTGCTGTTGCACCAGTTGCTGTTGCACCAGTTGCTGTTGCACCAGTTGCTGTCGCACCAGTTGCTGTTGCGCCAGTTGCTGTTGCACCAGTTGCTGTTGCACCAGTTGCTGTCGCACCAGTTGCTGTTGCGCCAGTTGCTGTTGCACCAGTTGCTGTTGTTGTAGTAGTTGTAGTAGTTGTAGTAGTTGTAGTAGTTGTAGTAGTTGTAGTAGTTGTAGTAGTTGTAGTAGTTGCAGTAGTTGCAGTAGTAGTTCTAGTTCTGGTAGTTCTAGTAGTTCTAGTGTAATTAGTGTAGTGTGTTTAGTGTAGTGCGTTTAGTGTAGTGTGTTTAGTGTAGTGTAGTGTAATTAGATGTAATTAGATGTAATTAGATGTAATTAGATGTAATTAGATGTAATTAGATGTAATTAGGTGTAATTAGATGTAACTAGATGTAATTAGATGTAATTAGATGTAATTAGATGTAATTAGATGTAATTAGCGTAGTGTAGTGTAATTAGTGTTGCGTAATCTAGCGTAATATATTTGTACTTGTAGTTGTAGTAGTAGTAGTCGTAGTGTAGTGTAGTGGTACTTGTAATTGTAGTTGCAGTTGTAGCTGGCTATCTGTCTGTCTGTCTGTCTGTCCGTCTGTCTGTCTGTCTGTCTATCTGCAAGATTGAAAACGAAGCTATTCTGCGAGGCTTCCTCAGTTTTTGAACTTGACAACATCAAAAATGCAGCAATTTTGCGAGACTTCTTTAATTTTTGAACGTGACAACGTCAAAAACGAAACAATTCTGCGAGACTTCCTCATTTTTCGAAGTTGACAACATCAAAAACGAAGCAATTCTGCTGCCAGACTTCCTTCAAAAATGGAAAGTTGAGTGCAGAGCTGACGGCCTCGTACCAATTCGTTTTGCGATTTTTCCACTCCACCTGTCTAAAGTATTGCGCCTGCCACGAAAAAGTGAGGCCAGGTCATACGAAGTGCTGCACCTGTCACGGCATGTGACATGTGTCTTGTACTGCGCCTGCCACGGAAAAAAGCATCTTTGCAG